ACAGCTACAAAGTAGAATGCTTTTTGCAGTAAGTCCAAAACATTATGGCCCCAATGCCTGCCTGCCCCTCAGTCCTCCTCCATCCAACGATGGCTTGATAGTTTCCGGGACCCAAAGGCAAGTTAGACAAAATAAACCACAATGAAGAGTACCCCCAAATGCTAGCTTTTGGAAAACTACCAAGAGCAGAAAGTGCGGGGCACCTGGGTGGCTCAGTCGTTAAAGTGTCTGCCTTCGGCTCGGGTCGTGATCCCAGGGTCCTGGGATCGAGCCCTGCGTCAGGCTCCCTGCTCCACGAGAGGCCTGCTTCTCCCTTTCCCACTCCCCCTGCTTGTGTTCCCTCTCTCGTTTTGTCTCTGTCTGTCAAATAAATAAAGAAATTCTTCAAAAAAAAAAAAAGCAGAAAGTGCTATTTTTTAGGCTGTAGGACAACATGGCCTGCTTACCCTTGGCTAAACTATTTACCCACCCTCAGAGCTGGGTAGTTAAAATTATAAGCCCAAGCCAGGGGGCTAATGCAAAACTTCTGTGATCTAACATCAGCTGAACCCACTGTGGCCAAAGGCAGTAATTCTTCATCTACCTGGCATCACTGGGGCTGGTCTTCTCAGAGATTTTTTCAGATACCTGACATCTACCCTCACTGAGTATCAAATCTACCTACAGTCTTTTCTAGGCAAGACCCAAATAGCACTTTATAACCTGACTACTATTTTACACATGGATAATGACTGCTTCAGATCATGTAAGCTCAAGGACTATAAGAGTTACAGGGCTATCGGGGCACGTGGGCGGCTCAGTTGTTGAGCGTCTGCCTTCGGCTCGGGTCATGATCCCGGGCTCCTGGGTTCGAGCCCCACATCGGGCGCTCTGTTCGGCGGGAAGCCTACTTCTCCCTCTCCCACTCCCCCTGCTTGTGTTCCCTCTCTTGCTGTGTCTCTCTCTGTCAAATAAATAAATAAAATCTTAAAAAAAAAAAAAAATTACAGGGCTATCATTAGTTCTTATGTTAATAGCCCCAGGCTGCTTCGTTTTTTAGAATCTGATTTTTTTTTTTTTTTTTTTTAAGATTTTATTTATTTATTTGAGAGAGAGAATGAGATAGACCATGAGAGGAGGGAGGGTCAGAGGGAGAAGCAGACTCTCCGCTGAGCAGGGAGCCCGATGCGGGACTCGATCCCGGGACTTCAGGATCATGACCTGAGCCGAAGGCAGTCGCCTAACCAACTGAGCCACCCAGGCGCCCTTAGGCCCTGATGTTTGCTTTCTAGTTTCCTCTTTTGTCCTCACACTATACCGTCACTACTCACTACTGTGAGTTTGTTCTCACTTGCTGTTCCTGTGTTTCTACTCCGATGATCTAGGAAATCAGGTACCTGAGCTCATTAAACTAGGCTTAACTTGGGGCCCCTGGGTGGCTCAGTTGTTAAGCGTCTGCCTTCGGCTCGGGTCATGATCCCGGGGTCCTGGGATCGAGCCCCGCATCGGGCTCCCTGCTCTGCGGGAAGCCTGCTTCTCCCTCTCCCACTCCCCCTGCTTATGTTCCCCCTCTCGCTGTCAAATAAATAAAATATTTAAATAAATAAATAAACAAACTAGGCTTAAGAGCAAAATGGCTTAGAGCTAAAGCCCTGAGGGGCTATCCACTATGAGATAAGAGTGTAGCCTTTGTGTTAACTATTTTGACTACTGGGAGATTTCTTTTGGTTTGATTTCTAAGTCTCAGTGGTGTTCCTGGATAACTGACAGGCCAGTAAACGAGAGCTTTTGCAATGTGGTTCCTATATCCTATGACAAGAATTTGGGAGAAAGGGCTCTCTTGCCAATCCTCCCAACCCCGATTATTAGACAATAGTGCATTTCAGGACTTCAAAAGAACTGGGGGTTAAGAAGGTAAGGCAGCCACTCCTGCATACTTCAAACTTCTTGCACAGCATTTTGCTCAACCCCAATGAACTAGGATAAAGGTCTGTATCCAACCTGAACTAAATACAAAACCCACTGTGCTTTCATTTCGCTGGTGATCAGGGGATGGAGAGATGACTAGCATAGGACGGGCTGTATCTGGAGACACTGGGTTTCTCAGTTGGTTAATCACCCAACTCTTGATTTTGGCTCAGGTCCTTATCTCAGGATCCTGGGATTGAGCCCCACATCAGGCTCTGTGCTCAGCACAGAGTCTGCTTGTCCATCTCCCTCTGTTCCCTCCTGCCACCCACCCGTGCGCTCTGTCTCTAAAAAATAAAATTTTAAAAATAAATAAATGGAAACCAGGAACCAACACTTACATGGACTCAATCATTTTCTTCGTAAAGACTTCATCAAATTCCCTCTTCAAACCTGTTTTCATGGTATCAGAAAGAACAAGACTGGGGAGATGGTTAATATTTCTGTCAGCTTCCACTTCTTCATCTTCATCAATTATCCTAAATAAAGACAGCAGAAGCAAACAGAGAAAAGTTAGTCGAGCTATTATTTATTCTATTAATTGGACGAAATTTAAAAACAAAATAAAAGCAGCAAGTGCTACAGGGAAAGATCAAGTAAAATATGAAGTTCTGAGTGAAAAATGTACACACAGAAGAGTTACTCAACGTTTCAGTCAACAGATGCAATCGTATTTGAAGAATGTGTCCCTGAAAACTCCCATAAACCAAAAAATTAATATTCACAGATAGTAGGTGAAAATATTTAGCACAGTTCTATGAGAAAAGTTTGACATTTAATGTGTCAACTTTGAGTTCTCGTATTTTTCATAGTCTGAGAGGTTGAAGATCACTGTTACCACCAAATGATGAATTAGACTAGCTTAAAAGAGTAGAGATGTCACATGGGATCCGCAATAAGCCAACGATATACGATACCCATTTACCTGTCCTCGATTTCTTGAAGCCTCCTTCGGGCAACTTCACACTGTGGTTCTCCGGTTGTCTGATCCATTTCTTCACAAATAACATCTAACATGCCAGGCGCAGAGAGGCCACTAGTGCACGGATTTACCCCATGACTCTCTATAGCCTGATGTGCACAAAGAATCCAGTCGTTAGGACCAGCACAGAGCCCTGCTTCAGTTAGTCTTTTCTTTCTTACTGGACAACTGAAAAAAAAAAAATTCAATGAAAATTCAGTCATATAAATGAAACGTTTATCATCCCTTTCTCTAACCAAACTTTTATGTAAAAAAACAAAACAAAACAAAAACCTCTGATTTTTGACAGTGTGTGACTATAAGATGGAAAATCATGCTTTTCTTTTGTCATTCTGAGAGCTTCCTTGAGATGTTTTCTTCTACTGCTCTCTACCAAATTAGACTGCACCTGCAAGATTGTGCTTTTTCAGATTAGTGTTCAGTGTGGGAACTTAAAGTCATTCCTATTTATTTGGCTCTGGATAGGTCAAGTGGAAAGTAAAGAAAGCAAAACCACAAGCAGCAGTTCAGCACCAGCCATATTTTGTCCTAATTCTGCTTGCTCCATATGGGGAGGTGGTCGACAGGCACCCTATTTTCCCTTAGGGCAAAAGATAATGCTTCATCAGGTCTGTTCCAAGTAGTACAGGTTGCAGAGGATACTGCTTATTTCTTGGTCCTCTCTGAAATGTCAGAAGACTGTCATTTGGCTCTGAGTCCCCTACTAGTAATGGTGTAACATTTTTCTCCCACTTTGTAACATAAACCATTTTCACTTCCTAGAAAAATTTATATTACATAGAGCTCTTCGAGTTCCTCAATTTTTTTGTTTTGCAGATTTGGAAACTAAGACCTACAAAAGCTAAAGTGCCTCCTCCTAAGTGTCACATAAGGTAGAGCTGCATGTTAGGTACCAGAAGCCAGAGCTCCAAAGTCCTAGCTCTATGTCATTTTCACTGAAACTTATGGCCTTCTTAGGGAAGTTCAACCATTCAAGCTCTTACCATGAACTAGTTTTTGCATACACTGCAGTGTGCCCAGTTTAGCTGAAAATTGTCTGAAGCTGGGCCTATTCTATTTAAGTACTTAGACCAGATGTACTTTATTGCTTGGGCATCAGCAAGTGTAACCTCAAAAACAAACACAGCTCTGCAACTTAAAAAAAAAAAAAAAGTCAAAAAAATCATTAATGGCTACCACAGCTTACAAGTCTCTAAACTGAAGGTCAAAGGAAGTGGTATGTATTTTACAAACAGAAATTTCTATTCATGTTAAGACTACAAAAAAAAAAAAAAAAAAAGACTACCAAAAAATCAACATTAAAGTCTCTGGCAATATAAAATCTGACAAATAATGATGCTCTCCTGAACCTAGACTTTTACTGGAATCGACAATTTTTTTTTTTTAATATTTATTTATTTATTTGAGAGAGCGAGAATGAGAGAGAGAGAGTACATGAGGGGGGGAGGGTTAGAGGGAGAAGCAGGCTCCTCGCCGAGCAGGGAGCCCGATGCGGGACTCGATCCAGGGACTCCAGGATCATGACCTGAGCCAAAGGCAGTCGCTCAACCAACTGAGCCACCCAGGCGCCCCAACAAATAATTTTTTTAAATCTTTAGTTTTTTGAGGTCTTTTTTGAGTATAGTTTTTTTTTTAAGATTTTATTTATTTATTTGCGAGAGACAGAGAGCGAGAGAGCGCAGGCACACGAGAGAGAGGGAGAAGCAGACTCCCCAATGAGTCTTTTTCATAGTCTGAGAGGTTGAAGGCAGCCCTTTTCTGAGTATAGTTGACATGCAATGTTACATTAGTTTCAGGTGTACAACATAGTGATTCTAGGGGCGCCTGGGTGGCTCAGTCGTTAAGCGTCTGCCTTCGGCTCCGGTCATGATCCCAGGGTCCTGGGATCAAGCCCCGCATCAGGCTCCCTGCTCTGCGGGAAGCCTGCTTCTCCCTCTCCCACTCCCCCTGCTTGTGTTCCCTCTCTCGCTGTGTCTCTGTCAAGTGAATAAATAAAATCTTTAAAAAAAAAACAAAAAAACAGTGATTCTACAACGCTCTATCTTATGCTATACAACTGTAGCTATAATCTAAATATATGGAACCCCTCACAAATTTGCATATTATCCTTGCACAGGGCCCATGCTAATCTTCTGTGTATCAGTCCAATTTTAGCCTCTGTGCTGCCAGAGTAAGCGCAAAAATATGTTTAGTTTACAACTGGTTTTAATTGATAAGAAAATATTAAGAATGTCTAGCTATACATCACATATTTCTGTAATATTTGGAAAGCAGGAAAAAAACTAGACACATAAAACCAGCTAAGAAAAAGCAGAATAAACCTAGAGGGGACAGGTAATTTCCTAGCACATCCAATAATTCAACTATGAAATGCAACTGAGTGTAACAGCTGGGTTCTGATCTCTGACCTCCAACATGATTTGGACTATATTATTTCATGCCTGTAGTGCATTTTGCAAATAATTAGAGATCAATGATAATTAAGTTTCAAAGAAAATATGATATAAAAGACTTCAAAGTATAGATAAGAGCTATGGAAGTGGCAGGTGGGCAGCACACTTCTGGGCATTAGATATTCAAATGTCAAGTTCCTCATTCTCAGGGCCTCAATTTCTCCTTTAATCTAAATTAAAGGCAGCTAATTTTTTTTTTTTTTAAGTAAGCTCTACACCCAATGTGGGGCTTGAATTCACAACTGCCCCCACCCCAGATCAAGGATCCCATGCTCTACAGACTGAGCCAGCCAAGGACCCCAAAGGCGGGTTAAATTTTTAAGTCAACAGATTTTACGCTTCAAACTTTTCACACTGGAACTCTTTATTCAATTATCTCTCTCGTTTTTTTTTTTAATTTTGGGGAGAGAGAGAGCAAGCAAGCAGGGGGAGGGGCAGAGGGATTGAAGCTGACTCCCCTCTGCACGTGGAGACGCTGGACTCGATCTCATGACCCTGAGATAAGGACCTGAGCCAAAACCAGGTGTCACACGCTCAAAAGACTGAGCCACCCAGGCATCCCTATTCAATTATCTCTTATAGTGTACTCCACAAGACAAAAGCAAAGAGATCCCTGTGTATCTGCAGCAATCCCAAGGCAATAACAAATATAAATATTGTCTGGTCTGGTGGTTTTTAAGCTAAGGCAACTTTCAAAGCTATTTAGCCTATGCATCAACAAGGTTAGAAAATCCAGTTTCTGCTGGCCAAAAAACAAACAAGCAAAACATATACAAAGTTAAAAGACGAATAACAAA